GTAGTAGTAGTAGTAGTATCAGTATTTGGACTTGTACTAGGAGAATCATTGAAGTCCGCTCGCTCGACAGGACGGTTGTGAGGGACCAGCTGGGTTTGCATCTATGCGCGTTGCATATTCAGTTTTCGCGGTATGGACCTTCACAATAGTTCTTTCACTTGCAACAACTGAGTAACCCTATTGAGTATTGTTGCAGATGGTCCAGATAAAAGCTTACATACTAGTCGATGCATTTTTTGCAAGGTGTGTAAATAGTTCGAAGCATTGTGTCACTGTTCGGTTCATCGTAAATGCTTAGCCTGTTGATTTGTAATAACACTACTAGTGAGTGATAGTGGTATACTGCTTCTGTTGCTTAAATGAACGTTTTCATATATCACATGTGTCTTAGAGTGCTGTTAAACTGTTAGTTGTTCATCAACTAGTCTTGTTCTTGCTATGCCCTGCTGGCTATCTTAGCACGGCCTTGGAATTACTGTAGTTGTTTGCATTACGATGAGCATGTGAGTAGTTCGCCGATGCCGTGGTTGCGATGTAGCAACTTGTAACACTTTTTGTGTGTTGCATGTTGTTTTGTCGGTGCTGTTGCGTTGTGCAGCTTGGCTGGTCGGATGCAGGTTGTTCATCGGATGCATTTGGTCTCTTAGGCTGGTTCGTGTTGCATGTTGTTGATCACATATCAGGATTTGCAAAGTGCTTTCCTTTGCCCTTCAGAGTTGGTGGGACTCAGTCCTTGCTGGTGGGCCATGGCCACAGACTTTCTACTCTCTTTCTGTTGGCTTTGTGGAGCAGGATGGCGGCACCATGATCGCGGCCGTTTACGAGGACTCAGTGCAGGGACTTGGGCCATTGATTCAGTCTTCTGATGGAACCGGACTCGACAGGAGATTGAACGCCCGGACCATGGTAGTTCAAAGGCGGCGAAGCTCCGCCAGCAAGACGAGAGGCGCGGGTGAAAGTCAACCTGTGCCTCAGTAACTTGAGATTTTCTCGTCTCACTTGTTTCACATTCTCGGCAACAATCCGTTGCTGATAGGGTGCCTGGCCAGCACTTCAGATTGACCAGGACGTCGTAGATCCTGCACCATGGGAATAATGCTGCAGTCGGCAGGCAGGAGCTTTCGCTGTCTTTGTTCTGATGTCGCTGCGAGAATGGTCAGCCGCTTTCGAAAGGCAGACGACCCGTCTAGATTTGCAAGATGTAACATATACCGGAGCTTCATGCAGTGACGGTAGTGCCAAACCACTACGTCATGCCACGCCAACCGCATTGTGGATGTGCACGAGTCCGCTCATGAACATGCAGAAGCAACATGTACACGCGCAGCCACGAGTTTCTGTCTCTTTCTTGCTGTTCTACAGTAGACAAACGAATGACAGCACGCACAGCTTACGAAGCAGAACCAAGTTTGTGAAGTTGTTCTTGCTTGTGCCATTGCACCGCCGGACATGGGAGGACTAGGCCTCTTGTCTTGGTCACACAAGTGCTTTGCACATTGTTCAAAACTGCGGCTGGAATGCATGCAGAAAACGTTTCACTACCGTCGGCAGCGCGCACAGCAAAGGTAGTCTTCTCGTTTTCGGAGTCAATCTTTTTGGGGTCTGTTTTGTTGGGCAGCCGTTGATTTGTATTGATGGGCTTCGCTATGTCTGAGTAAGTAAGATGCTTCTCTTGTCGTTGACTATTCAGGTATCGGAATATCAGCTGCATCTGCCTGAACGCACGCAGTTTCGCAGTCACTAAGGGGACTTGGCAGAGCTGGAGGCGGAGCTCATCAAGAGAAATCGCGAAATCGCCAAGGCATGAGACATTTGATGCAGAGTGGTCTACTGTCAGCGTTGACGGAGACAGTGGATTCTTCACCCATCATGCCTAGTCCGGACTGAAGCTGTTTGGCATAAGCGTGGCATCCCACTAACATCTCCGCGTAGGTTCTGAGCTCTGCAAACATGTCCAACAGTACTGCATCACTTCGAAGACTAGACGGTCATGCCTCGAGCACAAAACACAGTCTCGGTTTCAAGTATCTCGCAGTATTTCTGGGGTGTCACATACACCTACGCTACTAAGCAGTGTCGCTCGCTAGGGCAGGCAACAAGCAGCTGTCGTTTTCGAAAGAATCCGCGTCCTCCACACCAACCCAGAATCACCAAGTCCCAGACTTGATTGTACTTATGCAGCCCCACATCAACGAGGATGAGAAAAAACCAAGGTGTCCTGTTCGGGGGCTTTGCACCACCGTCCTGGTCAGGTGCGGGATGATGTGCTGAAGCTCGAAAGGTGCCGGGCCGGGATTTCGGGGACTCTGCATCTCGAGGAGGCTCAGAGTACGACTCCATTACCACAGCTCCAATCGCAGCCTCCAGCGTCGTCGGGTAGCTAAGCCACACACATCCGAGACCAGGAAGCTCCTTTCCAGAGCCCAGAACCCTAAAATTGAAAGGTTTGTCTAACTCACTGTCTTCAAACTCCGATCTACAAGCCTGAAAATTGATTCCTTTAGGCCTTTGTGAACACGCCAGGCGTCTGGACGAGTCGCGCAAGCGCAACGACGATCTCCTGGAACGGGTGGCTATTCTTGACTCCGAGGCTGGCAATACTTTGGTGCGAGGGTTCGGGACGGGGATTCAGGATCCAAGGAAACGGGCTTCTTTGATACATTTTCATTTGGGATTGGTGCCTTGAGCCAGGGTTCAGGTGCTAGAGTGTGGCCGGTTTGCCCCTCCACTGGTTTTATGTTGACTTTGTGCAGTGTGGTGTAGTGTGGCTAATTAGACGGGGAGTACGCTTGACTGGGTACTTGGGGGCCCCAATGGCCACCCACACGTCTTCGAGGAGTCAACGGTGCAAAGGGCAATATCTTTGATGTTTACAGTTCTTTGTAATGATGTCTTCTGTCAGTTGCGCATTCAACAGCTCTAATCGGAAAAAGTAACTTTCCGACCCGGAGGTCAGAATTTTTCTCGCCTCGTCGTGAGAGAATGTGTGGTTTCCTAAAGTGCGAATCCCCGACGCTCCAGATCTGATCGCTGAGTTCGGAATCAGTGATGACGTTGCGCCCATCTCGATCTGCCAAAGCCTCTGGGATACTCGTCGCCCGCATGACTGCAGAAGGAAGGACAGCCCCGATTTGCAAGACCAAAAACAACTGTTCAGAACAGTGGCGGCATCATTTTCGGAAGTCAGAAAGAGAACGCCGGCTCGTCGCAAATGTATTATTGAACAGATCAGAAAACAGATAGACCCTCACTGAACGACAGCCAGCAGCCGCAAAGTAAACGCGAAGACAATCAACATTAATTTTCAACATGTTGGTAATGCAGTTAGTTCGTACCGAGTGACACTGAGAACGACATGGCTACTGATCAGCACTCGTAGGACGATTACTACTAGTAGCAGTGACAGAGAAAATTTCTGCGCCGCAAGCAACTGCTAATTTGCAATGATAAGCACAGTAGCAATATGGATACGGGTGATACAAACGAAAACAAATTCATGAACTGTCATGCATCACGAAGATCTCGAAGGGCTAGGCCGCTCGAGGGACAAACGCAGACCTGTTGATTACGGTACGAGCAGCACTGCGAGGCGATAGGAAGGCCGACTGTCATCAACCATGTCATCATTATCATGATCATCATTGTCAAAACTCAACAACACATCACTATTGTCATCACCATCAGCCCAGTCTTCTCTCGATTATCTCTTTGCAACCTTGCTCTGCGCTTGATGTCTTGCAACTGCGTCGTGTCATAACATTCGGCATGCTCTTGACTGGAAAGGCATGTGGAGCAAATGTCAAGAAACGCGGATGCATACCTGACCGAGTGTGCTGTCGAAACGTAGGACGCTGAGCGCAGGACCGGAAATCAGGGAGCCCAGCCGGGAATTCATGAATCTACTTTGCTCCGCTCGGGCTATCGAACTTGTGTCGTCATGCTCACCGCCTGTCAATGAACGTCGGCTGGTTTGGACTTCGCGGACCCTTAGACAGTAGACCCCTGATCCCGAAGCCACCGTACGGCTCTGAATTAAAGCGTTCGGTGGTTGGCATGACTTTCGACATGGTCTTCGGATGTCTTCGGCAGGTTACAAAGAAAGAGCTGCTACTCAAGGACTCTGAGCAGAAGGCTTGGTGCTCCGTGGGCCATCTCAGTTTGCCGGCCACTGTGGTAAACACTATGGCTATGGGGCTGCGGGCTGCTTACGCTGGAAGCAAAGAGGCTTGAATGTGTTCGTTCGAGGATCGCATGCAAGGCGAGTGCCATACGTGCGCGTCGCATTCCGCGCTCCTGCTGTCACGTGCTGCGCAGTTTGTGCTCATGTCCCATTTTTTATGCAGCAGTTTAAATCGAAATGTCCCAATCTCGCCAGCACATCGGGAAAAGCAGTTTGGTCATGTCTCTGAATCCCGCCGGTACATGTGGGGGGGAGCAGGTTGGACGTGGTGCCCTGACAACAACGCTCAAGAAAGGTGGGAAGCGTTGTCGCAAGGGCGCATGTAGAACGCTGAATCCCGCCAGTGCATGCGGAACGAAGTTTCCGTCGTGCACTGCATATACGCGCGAATTCCGCGAGGGAAGGGAGAACCGTAGTTGCATGGCGCTTCTGGGGTCCTGGTGATCTTTGGGCAGTCTATATACTGGGGTCTCCTCGTGGTGTCCTGGTGGTGTCCTGGTTTCGTCGTCGGATGTGACAGTGAACGGCTTTCCTTTGTGTCCAAGCTTAAGCTTGCGCATGGTTCTACAGCATTTTTATGAATGCATCCAGGGTTCAAGCCGCGCCTGTTGGAATGCAAATGTCAAGCTGCGGCTCATGAGCTTCGCAGGTAAGTGATATCACCCAAGAGCTGCAAGCCAAAGATGCTGCAGCAAAGAAGCTGGAGGAGGCAGGTTTCCCGGAGTCGAGCTTGCCATCGTCATATACATGATCTTTGCACCGTCATATCCCACGACCGGCTTTCATTTGGTTGTGTGTGCTGATCTCGTTGCCTCCCGGGGCTTGCGGCACTGTAAAGATTCCAGTTTCAGCAGGCTCCGACCTGCATTTTCGGGCAGTCATAATGGAAGTCGCTGCCAAGCCTTTTTGGTAGGGAAGTGGTCCGAAACCACACCATGCCTCCGCAGACCATCACCGATCCCTGTAACATGCATCATGAGGAGTTGCAAGACCAGTTGGAGAGCGCGCGGCAGGCACAATGTTATGGCTGCTTTACGAGTTTATAGGAGCCAAAGCCAAAAGCCATTTAAACCGGAAGCTTTGCACAGGAGCGAGAGGCGTCGGACAAGATTTTGGAGCTGACAGAGAAGGTTGAGGCACTGCAGGCCCAACTTGCCTCTGCAGCAGAACGAGGTGATGCTCTAGAGGCCAAGGCCAAGGATGAGACGGAGCAGCTTCGTGCCGAAGTCGCAGCTGAGCGGGAAGGTCGAGCAGCAGATGCGTCGCGAGAAGCAGCGCATGCAAAGCAGCTGAAGGCCACTATCGAGGAGCTGCAGGGCACGCTTGCGAATCAAGTCGAAGCAAGTTCCAAGCAGGAGCGAGATTCCTCCGCCAAGTGTGAGGAGCTCGTCGACAGGATTGTAGCTTTGCAAAAAGAGAATGCTGCCGCAGTGGAACGGGCTGATGCCTTGGAGGCGAAGGCCAAGAATGAGATGAAACAAGTCACATCCCAACTCGAACAGCTTCGATCCGAAGTCGCGGCCGAGCAGGAAGGTCGCGTGGCAGATGTGTCGAGAGCAGCAGCAGATGCAGAACAGCTGCATGCCACCATAACAGAGCTGCAGGGGACCCTGGCGAGTCAGACAGAGGCAAGTTCCACCCAGGAGCGAGAGGCATCGGACAAGATTTTGGAGCTGACGAAGAAGGTTGAGGCACTGCAGGCCCAACTTGCCTCTGCAGCAGAACGAGGTGATGCTCTAGAGGCCAAGGCCAAGGATGAGACGGAGCAGCTTCGTGCCGAAGTCGCAGCTGAGCGGGAAGGTCGAGCAACAGATGCATCCAGAGAAGCAGCGCACGCACAGCAGCTGCAGGCCACTATCCAGGAGCTGCAGGGCACGCTTGCGAATCAAGCAGAAGCTTGCTCGGTAAAGGAACGTGAGACATCGGCAAAGATCCGGGAACTCACGGAGAAGATTGAAGCACTGCAGACCCAACTTGCCGATACCATTGAAAGACGGGATGCTCTAGGGGCCAGAAGGAACGAAGAGGTGGAGGGGCTGACCTGCGAAATTCTGCAGCCTCTGACCTTTCCTGGCGCAGTTCTGTTTTGCTTTGCTAGACCTTTGTAAATCCACTGCTGGGGCAGACTATACGGCCGGGGTTCCACAGCTTAGGCTTCGCAACGACCTTGCTGCAGAGCAGGACCGAAGCGTGGAAGCTCAGGTGGTTCCATTGGCCCTTGCAAGACCCTCCAACATTCCCGGACTTGGATAACCTGACATAGACACGAAAGCGAGCTGCTACTAGGTGCTGGCCCTAAGTCGT